AGGATGAGAATGCTGCCTTCAAATTCTTGTGTGTTTTTTTGTACGTACGTGTATATGTGTGAGAGAGAGAGAGGTTTTGGACATTGCCAAATATAAATCCCAAGAGACAATATTATGCTCCAAATTATTTTATTTTATTTAGTATATGTTAACTATTAATAAGAGTAAAAAGAGAAAAGAGCTTATGCTCCAAATTATTTAAGCAGAAATATCCTGATATCACCAAGAAAGAGAATTCGACAACCATTATTCATCAAAGCTCAAGGTTGATAATCAGCAGCAGTTCCTTTTTTTTTGGCAAATAATCGACAGCACTTCAATGCCTGAAGACCTTAGACTACAAGTCCAGCCAAAATTGAAAATCTTTTACTTCCTCAAACCAAAGATGGTGAGTTCCGAAAGCAAAGTTAAACATCACTAGCAATTTTCAAAATTAATATGGCTCTAAACCAACCACACTGCTAGAGACCAGTTACGAACGATGGCACAGCAATGACCTGAATAAATAGCAGCCAAAACACAAACAAGAAAAAGATACAAATGATCAATCCTTCTCAGTTCCATAGCATTAAAAGAAAATGGGGAGGTATCAGTAAAATGGTCAGGCCACCTCAAAAAATCAACGAGGTGGTCAAATCAACCAGCTCATCAACAGTGGCTAATTCAATAAGCCTGTTTCGCCCAAGAACCTTCTTACACAGTTTGTTAAAAAAGATCCAAAACACCCTTGCTCGGGTTCATAATCCTGAACATCCTCATCAAAATGCCCATCCTTGTTCCAGATTCCTATCCTGAAACAAGATATTTTAATAAAAAAAATACATATTCCAATTTCAGAGCTTGGAAGAAGCAGAGGAAGTTTTGTTAGTTCGCTTGGGCCACTTGAGTGGCACCAAATTACAATGGTACTCCTGCTTATTCAAGATTCCAAACCTGCAACAAGTAATTTTAATAAAAAAAACTTGTCCAAGTTGAGAACCCCGAAAAAAAACAAGGTTATTTATGTCATTTGGGTTGAGCCAGGAAGTGGGGCCAAAATATCAAAATTCCCCTACTCGTCCAAGGTTCCAAACCCTAACAAGAAATCTTAGGTATTTCGTAACAAAATAATAAAAAATTACCAAGATACCCATAAGAGATGAATCACTTAACATTTTACCCATTTGCACCTATTCCAACTCAAGACCATGTTTTTTTTTTTTGGGATATTCTGAAATTAGACCAAAAGAGATGAGTAAAATGCTAAATTGTTAATCTTTTATGAGTATTTTGATAACTTTCCCCAAAATAATCAGGGAAGTACTTGAGTAAAATGATTGATTTCAAGTAGCCAGTTTGTAGATAACTTGGCTGATCCGACCATTTCAGCAATTTTTTCAGACATTTTGACCATTTTCATGAAATTTTCTCAAAGGAAGAACAGAAAAGGCAATGTTTTGTACCATTTCTCTATCAAGCAGTACGGTTAATATGCATGCATCTGCAATCATGGCATTCCATGTAGGGTATTATCAGAACATCCAGCCAAAGGTGACACCTATAAATGGAAGCAATTAAATATAAAACAACACACATTAATGATCGATGCTGGATGTCAGTTCCAAATCAATAAAAAGGGAGAAGGGGGGAAATGATGACCAACGTAATTGCGAAATAGCTCTACAAAAAGCAAAAACAGTGTGCACATGCATGCAGACATCAACTGTGCATATCTCTCTCTCTCTCTCTCTCTC